TTGAAGACAGCTATCGTCGATCCGGTCCCCACAACGCGGGCCACAGCGTCCAAAGCACTCGGATCTCTCGTGGAGAAACTCGGAGAAGACGCTCTTCCAGATCTCATTCCTAGTCTTATGGCTACCCTCAAATCCGACACGGGAGCCGGAGACCGGTTAGGATCTGCACAAGCCCTCTCCGAGGTGCTCGCCGGTCTCGGAACTGGTCGTTTGGAAGAAACTCTTCCAAGCATTTTGCAGAACGTGTCAAGCAATAAACCATCTGTCCGTGAAGGTTTCATGTCGCTTTTCATTTTCCTGCCCGCCTGTTTCGGAAACAGCTTTGCCAACTATCTCAGCAAGATCATTCCACCTATTCTTGGTGGTCTTGCAGATGACGTTGAGTCTATCCGTGAAACGGCGTTGCGTGCTGGTCGTCTCCTTGTCAAGAACTTCGCGACACGCGCCATCGATCTTCTCCTGCCCGAACTGGAGAGAGGCTTGGCCGACGACAGCCATCGTATCCGTCTGTCTTCCGTCGAACTTGTGGGCGATCTTCTCTTCAACCTTACCGGTATCAGCGGCAAAGCCGAGCAGGAAGAAGTCGAAGAAGGTGCAAAGGAAGCTGGACAGTCCTTGTTAGAAGTGCTTGGAGAGGAGAAGCGAAACAAGGTTCTTTCAGCGCTCTATATCTGCCGTTGCGATACTTCTGGTCTAGTACGTACCGCTGCTATCAATGTCTGGAAGGCAATGGTGGCGACTCCCAGGACACTTCGCGAACTCATCCCTACACTCACTCAACTCCTTATTCGGAGACTGGCCAGCTCAAACATGGAGCAAAAGGTCATTGCTGGAAATGCCCTTGGAGAGCTTATTCGGAAGGCTGGAGAGGGTGTTTTGGCAAGTTTGTTACCCACTTTGGAAGAGGGTTTGCACTCCACCGACACAGACGCCAAGCAAGGTATCTGCATTGCTCTCCGCGAGCTCATAACTTCAGCATCTCCTGAAGTCCTGGAGGATTACGAGAAGACGCTAATCTCCGTCGTTCGCACTGCACTTGTCGATCCCAACAGCGATGTCAGAGAAGCGGCTGCAGAAGCCTTTGATGCTCTGCAGCAAGTACTCGGTAAGACGGCTATCAACCAGGTCCTGCCATATCTTCTCACTCTTCTGCGGAACGAGGAAGAAGCGAACAATGCGCTGTCTGCTCTGCTTACCTTGCTTACTGACAATGCCCGTTCCAACGTCATTCTACCAAATCTTCTCCCTACTTTACTCACATCGCCCATGTCGGCCTTCAATGCTCGCGCTCTTGCTTCGCTCGCCGAGGTGGCAAGCTCAGCAATGACTAGGAGGCTCCCGAACATCTTTAACGCCATCATGGACAACCTTGTATCATGCAAGGATGAAGAGCTCAAGTCAGAACTCAATGAAGCTTTCGATACCATCCTACTTTCTGTGGACGAATATGATGGCCTGAATACGGCAATGAGCGTAATGCTTGCGCTGTCCAAGCATGATGACGAACGGAGACGTGCGAACACAGACTTGCATCTGGCCAAATTTTTCGCTGAGACCGAAGTGGACTTCTCTAGATACTACCCAGAGCTTATTCGGTCATTACTTATCGCATTTGACGATAGCGATAAGGAAGTGGTCAAGGCTGCATGGGCAGCTCTTAACGAGCTTACTAAGCAGCTCAAGAAGGAAGAGATGGAATCTCTCGTCATTTCAACTCGCCAAGTCCTCAACCAAGTCGGTGTTGCTGGATCCGATTTGCCCGGTTTCTCATTGCCAAAGGGTATCAACGCTATTCTGCCAATCTTCCTGCAGGGTTTGATGAACGGTACTGCGGAACAGCGTACGCAAGCTGCTTTGGCCATCTCCGACATTATCGACCGGACCAACGGCGATGCTCTGCGCCCTTTCGTTACCCAAATCACCGGACCGCTTATTCGCGTTGTTTCGGAGCGTTCGGTGGACGTCAAATCGGCTATTCTCTTCACGCTTAACAACCTGCTGGAAAAGATCCCGACCTTCCTCAAGCCTTTCTTGCCACAACTTCAGCGAACATTTGCCAAGTCACTCGCCGATACTTCAAGCGAGGTCCTCAGGACCAGGGCTGCAAAGGCTTTGGGTACACTGATTACTATGACACCACGTATCGATCCATTGATTGCGGAATTGGTTACTGGTTCAAAGACCTCGGACCAGGGAGTCAAAAATGCCATGCTTAAAGCGCTGTTTGAGGTTGTGAGCAAAGCGGGCGCGAATATGAGTGAGGCATCACGGAATGCTATTCTTGGCCTTATCGATACGGATACTGATGAGTCGGATGATGCTATGGCCATTACATATGCGCGACTGCTTGGTGCCTTGATTAAGAATTTACCTTCTGAGATCGCAGCAACGCTTATCAAGAGCCGCGTACTCACGACTCATTTCAGCAAGGCCACGGTTTTGGCTCTCAACGCCATCTTGCTCGACTCTGCCGAGGCCTTAACCAAGTCCTTCCCTGACGAAACTGTCTCTACCATCTGCCAAGGAATCCAGCACAGCGTAAGCTTCCTTTACCCCATCTCAACCCATAATCTTACTAACAATCCACAGCAACCTGTTATCTCCGAAAACTGTGTTCTAGCAGCCGGCAAATACCTCCTCGCGCTCCCCATGAGTGCGACCAACGCCTACGAAATCACTAAGCCCATCTTCGAAGCGCTAGCTCCCGTTATCCCCCCGGGCAGCCCCATTGATGTGCGCCGTCTCGCCCTCGTCGTCATCCGCACCATCAGTCGGCATAACACCCCTCTCGTGCGCCCACATATCCCACTCCTTGCCCCTCCCATCTTTACCTGTGTCCGCGACCCTATTATTCCCGTTAAGCTTGCTGCAGAAGCGGCGTTCTTGGCGTTGTTTGATGTTGTGGAGGAGGAGGCTGTGGTGTTTGAGAAGTATATGAGTGGTGCTGGTGCGGAACTGGCGCCGGGGCCGAAGAGGAGTATGTCGGATTACTTCAAGAGGGTGGCGCTAAGGTTGGGTGGACAGGCGAGGGAGAGGAGAGAGGCTGAAGGAGGGCAGGGTGGCTTGGGGCTTGCCGGGGACGAGGTCGAGGATGAGAGGGAGATTTGGAGTGTGGGGAAGGTGGAGTTGGGAGATAGTGTGGGGTTTGATTAGGGAATGAGATTTTTTCTTGTAAAGTGGCTATGTAGAGAATGGCCATGGTGGTGAGTTTTGGCGATGGCATGAGTATATACAGTTTGTGAATATTAAAAGTTCTTGTTTGCTGTGCTTGTTTCCTATTTCCTGCAGGGCACAGGACGAGTTAAGAGGCTATGTAGTACCGTCCGACTAGGCATAGTGTTTCGGACGTCCTTCTAGCCTTCCTTCTCCAAATCAAACCTAGAAATAACGACTATCACGCTTCCGCACTACACACATTAATCATCCTATAAACTTTACACTTTTCACCGTTGGTGGTCAAGTCACTGAACGAAGGCTGGCTTTCGATATGAAGCAAATATGCCGGGAAGAGATGCAAGCAACCGTGCCGTCACAATTTAGACGTAAGTAACCTACGTTCTTCTTAACTTTGCATCTCTCTCTCGTGGCATTCAATGCTCCGCTCTTTTGAAAGGTTGCTGAAAGTTCCAGCTCATAAACCGAGACACCATCTACTCCCCTTCCGTGTATCCGTATTAATGATCCAGTTGGTAGATGAACGTTGCCGAATTGGTGACAGTGGCTCATCCGTTGTAATTTTGTTTTATCTCCGTCTCCGTGAATATAATTACATTGGCGTATTTGCTAGCATATAGTTAACCCCCTATATTTTTAAAGTATATGGCATAATGGGATTACCTACTTCCACCTGCCCGGTATTAAGCATAGCCTGTGACGGCTCACATGCTTTCATAGGTTGAGGGGATTGCATTGGGTAGTTGAATCTCTTCTTAATTAATCATGAACACATGCGTGGTCAGCAACCCCATTGGGTCGTTTTAACCACTACTGTCTGGGTGACATCTACCTAGAACTTGCTACCTATCCTTTCCTCCTTCTTCGTCTTTAATCCTTTTCTATTCGTAAAGTTAGCTATCTGGGTAATCAGTATAGCGATTTTCCTTCTTTTTAGCAACACCGTGGCATAGGCCCTTACACTTGTTCTTACAAATCATTAGAGAATCATGGTTATGATGGAGGCTGTATTTGAAGTGCTCATGGATATTGTCTTTTGGAAAATGAATGAACTGATTGTTATGTCTACAGTCAAAGGAGTGACAAACGTATACATGAGATCATGTGATTATGGGACTAAGGGAAGGGCAGAAACATATAGAAATGTATGTAATGTTATCGTCACGTAGTTTGACAAACCTGCTAGAAGATTCTAGCATAGCGAGATTACAATTCCAACAGGTTACCTAATAAATGACCAATGATTCTATACATCCGAATATGTAATCGGATCATGAGCGAATTTAACCTCAGGCATTGAAGTAAAATGCGAATACATTGAAAAGATATACCTCATGTGAAATAGTCCGGAACTGGCTTTACGTAGTCTATCATTGATAGTAGAGTAGCGCTGTAGCAAGATATTCGACACCGAGAAAAGTGATTATCAACTGCTACTTAGACTATTAATACAGTTCATAATTTGTAGAACTGAATTGAACCCAGCCATTAGGAATTAGATATAAATGCACCAAGGCTAATAATTCAATCCTCATACTCCTAAGCAGACTGACAGGAAAACTCACTGAATCTCATGTGCAAAGAGCCCGATCTTATCTAGCACTATTCAAACAGTCGATAAACATTTGATTACTAGAACATCGATTCTAAAAGTTCTTTTTATGGTCTTCTGATAGGTTACAGGAGTTTTGCTATCAGTCTTGAAATTATTTCGTCCACGGAGAAAGGGTGTGTCAAAACGTCAGACTTCCCCTCGCTAAACAGCCCCACTGTATATTTTAACAAAACTAAGATATTCTTAAATTCCTCCATCAATAACTTAAAAAGCATCGGTGGTTTAGTGGTAAAATTAGCCGTTGCCAATCGCAACATTAGCAATTGTCGAAGTCGGCTAGCCCCGGGTTCGATTCCCGGCCGATGCATTCAATAATACATAATTAATTCTTTTTGTGCTTCTCGAGGCTGTTGTTGTGGCCATCCTGTGTGAAGACATTTTGAAAGTTGGGAGGGGAGATGGTAAGATTTTCTGCAAGGAGGAGGGAGATGTGGGTAAGGATAGAAGTTTTTTTACTCTTTGAATGTAGTAAGGGAGATAGGTATAAGACTTATTTTGTTTATCCTACATAGCACCTTACTTGCCGTTTCTTGCTCTTATCAGGCATAAGTCAATCGATATTCGTTACCGACATTTTCTGCAAGTGAGGTGGTGAGGGAAGATTGCAAAGTGAAAGAGATCAGTTTTAATTGCAAGGCGAGGTGAATAATCAAATAGCGCCGATATCCAATTAAGCTGTAAGGTCCTCTATCATCTAAACATGAATCAAGGGTAAAGAATGTTATAAGGACATATTAGAAGGGCAGTTCTTTCACGATAAGCGGAGATATTAGATAAGTGAATATAAAATCTGTAATATTAAGGGGTTAGAGGTAAAGTATTATAATAATAATAATTCAATTTAACGTGCTACCTGGTTCCCAATCTGGTCTATGAACACGTAAGTATTATAAATAAGGCACTAGAAAACAATAGAAAGAAGGAAGATTTTAGAACAGAAGAAACCACCCTGCTAGACATGGATAGACATCGTTCTAATAAAATCGGTCTATGTTATCGGAAGGAACGAAAACCGGGGTGGACGCCCAATTACCAGTCTTTGACTTATCAATATCTGTTCCTGGGCTACTGTTCGTTATTTCCTAATCCGGAAGCACGTAAGCTCTCCGAGGATCCCTGGTTAATAATATAATAATACAGGGTAATAATGAACGTCAGTTCGCAGTAGTATGCTCTTCCTCCTATCTGCTTTTCCCACGAATAGCGGAATACGTTTCTTCAACTTTGATCCATACAGAGGGTAGCCCAGAGACGCCGTATTTCTGGACTTCTAAATCTTGTTGGGCAAGTGGGAAAACCAAGTGCAGCTCATTAAACTGGTTTGCCAGATGGCCACAACTTGCTTCACCTCTCGTGGGGGCAGGCTTTAATACCAAAACAAGAGCATACAAACATACCTTGATGTGATCAAATGTTTCTCTACCTTTTAACAGATATTCGCCCAACTCTCCAGCGTCCATGTTGTACATTTCAAACGATATATCCAAGCTTTAGGTATGGTTGCAAAATTTCTGGAACACGATGCGCAGAAAGGTGTAAAGGCTCCCAGATACGTCTGCTTTAGCCGCAAAGGCGTGAGCTGCATATTCAACAGGCAGCCAACTATCGAGAGGATGCGCATTATTTTGCACCGGCCGCTGTCTCGGTCCTTGAGAAAAGGTTCTTCTGTGGAAAGTAGTACATATACTTAGGTAGTCAATAATAGGGGAGTTCGCATACGCACGGTCGACGAGGTCAGTTCTGGCGAGCGTAGTCTGCCCCGAACTGTTCTCGCAGATTTCCATGTATAAGATCAAAATGAGGGAGAGGTGATATGGACAGAAAATATATGTATTGTGTGTAAGATTATGCATTGTGTTCTGTCCGCCTGAGCAGAAGTTGTGAGGGGTATTATATACATGAGCAGGGAGCCAAGACTCATGTGACCTTCCAGTCCTACACCATGTAAGGCCTTTCGAACCCTTGGAACAGGACGCAAGCTGTAACCATTTGTCCATCCGACTCGCTTGTGAAGCACCTTGTCAGTTGTTGGCCTTGTCTTTAGCTCAAGGAGGGGAGATTGGATCACTGGTTTAGAGATGACATATACTGGTACCTGAGAGCTGAAGTACAGCCTTACAGGTACTCTACGCCTTCTTGACTAATAAAAACATTTTCCAATGTGTGAATAAAATGCTACCATCGCTTGGTACATACGTCAGGGTAGAATTGCTGCCTGAGAACAGTAGAGATTAGAAACTCAAAATCTCGCAGTAAGCGTTATCATAATACCTCTTATGCGGCTGATCTTTTGTCGTGGCATCGGTATGTCTCGTTATTACGCGATACCTAATTGTGGACCCTTTGCGGCTTATATCCTAACTTCGAATGCTAGGAACGGGCTTCTAATTTCTATCTGTTGACCGGACGGCAAACACTCCAACATATCCTGGTGTTCTGCCCCAACTACATCCAGCCCCGTGCGAATCTTCTTTTAAAGACAGGCAATGCAGAGCTTCCAGAGATGCTGAATGAGAAGGGAACGGCAAGAGCAACTGCGCAATGTCTCCTAGAAACAAACATTCTGAAACACTTTCAAGTTGCAAGGCCTCTTACAAAAGAGAACACAGGGAACTGGGCTCCCTTCCAACTAACCCAGGCCGTGTCATAATAACCTCTCTGTTGCCTGAGCGGCAGCACTGGCAGATAGGGAACAGCAACTAGTAGCTGATGAAATAACTCATCATAGCTATATTAGAATGGTTTAGGTTGAGGAAAAGGCAAAGATTTTGTACGTTGGAGGGAGACTCTGGTGTCGGATTTATTTTGCTTTACACATTGATATTACGTGTTCATAGACCCGATAGGGAACCAGGTAGCACGTTAAATTGAATTATAATAATGATAATTATTTCTATATGTTGTTCTCTAAGGCATTAGTTTAATTAGGGAAGTTTATTTCATATACAGTAGTGTAGGCCGAGACGGCATATGGTATGAGCAACTTGCTGCTGACTCCGCACACAATACATGTATATATACTCAACAGTTAATTAGACCTGAGGACAACACAGAACATGATCCAGAACAATACAGCCTGTTCACTACCCAGTCTTCATCTCATTCTGCTTACAAGTAGAATTATACGTTACAAGTTAGCTCATGAAGAAGGTGAAGTGCCTACCAACTCCTTTATAGTTTAAGCATATGCGTCTACCGAGACTATAGGTCCTCAAATGCTCTTTTTCTTTGTCCTAATAGCCTACTACAATCAGCTAATCAGTTACTATCCGTCAAAATAATATTGTTATTTACGCTCCTCCACTAATCGCTACATGCAGATTAAGGTTCCTGCCTGCTATAGGTTCCTGGACGAAAGAATTTCGTTTTCAAAATGCATAGTCTCGGTAGACCCATCATTGGGATCTAACCGGCGCTTAAATCCTGCCCGCTGCCCAAGCTCTTCCTACTCAGCCCATCGCTTTATGGATAGAAGACATAGTAACCCTAGATACTTCCGAAGCAGTGAACACGAGATTAAGGCTTTGAGAAAGAGGTGAATACAAAATGAAGCCGAATGAGTCATTTTTCACTATGGAGCAAGAAACCATGATCAAGCCTGGCGACAAGCCAAACTCCGTTGACACTACTGGCTTATGCCTGTTGTCTCTGGATGGCGGCGGCGTACGAGGTCTCTCGACTCTCTACATTCTGAAGTATATTATGGCTCGATTGAATCATGCGCGAGAGGAGAACAATCTCCCTCAGGTTAAGCCTTGCGAGGTATTCGACCTTATCGGAGGCACAAGTACTGGCGGGTAGGCGGGCGTCTGGCCTGTGATGCGATAGAACTTCGCTGACCGCCAGTAAGCATTATTGCGATCATGCTCGGTCGACTCGAAATGGATGTCGACGATTGCATTAAAGCATATAGCGATCTGACCAAAGAAGTATTTGAGGAGAAGGACAGACGGATTCCTATCAGCTGGCGCTTCAGATTCAGGGCAAAGTACGACTCTGAGAAACTCAAGAGAGTGGTTTGCACAGTGTTCAAGAACAGCGGCGCGCATGAAGATGATTTGTTCAATGACGGCACTGAACGCGGATGCAAAACGTGAGTGCTTTGTTGGCAATACAACAACACATCACCTAACAAAGCTAGGTTTGTTTGTGTCGCCGACCGGCACACAAAGGACAATGTCCGCCTCCGTAGCTACGGCCTTCCTCACGAGCCTCATATCCGCGCGACGATATGGGAAGCCGCCCTTGTGACGTCCACGGCCACAACCTTCTTTGATCCCATTAAAATTGGAAATCGTTCGTTCGCTGATGGTGCACTTGGCTCAAATAATCCAGTGGATGAAGTGGAGGCGAAGCATCAAACATCTGGTGCTCGGAGACGGGAGAGCTGAGGTCACAGGTTAAGTGCTTCATATCTGTCGGGACCGGAAAACCGGGCACAAAGCCATTCAAAGAGGGCATCATCAAGCTGCTTGGGCAGACGTTAGTACAGATCGCTACGGAAACCGAAAATAAAGAGAAGAGATTTATAGCTCGGTGGGCTAAACATTTCGATGAAAAGAAGTATTTCCGGTTCAACGTCGAGCAAGGGCTGCAGGAAATTGGGCTCGAACAGTATGATAAGGCAGGAGAAATAGAAGCCGCAACGGAGAGCTACCTTACGCATATGCAGTAGAAGTTGGGAGTAGGAGACTGTGTACAAAATATGAAGCTCAAGCAGAGTGTGTATAATGAGTCTTCCAAATAAGAGGTTAGGCATTATTGGGCTAATATTAACAGATAATGCTAAAGGACCCTTTACTTCCCCCATGCATGTAAGTGCCTGCTAGGGCTATCCTGTTAGTATATTTCTTGCTGAACAAAGCAGGAACATGGCCTTCCAACCATTAGAATCACTCCACACCAGCTAGTCCCAATACCAGATCACACTTCCTTGATTGTCCCATTCGAGAGAAATCCTCGCTTTACAGGACGCGAGTCACAGCTTGCTCATCTCGAAGAAATGCTGTTCGCCAAAACCGTACTCCAAAGATTGCTATCATGGGACTCGGTGGAGTAGGGAAGACACAGCTTGTCCTCGAGCTCCTTTTTCGAACAAAAGATAAGCACCCCGACTGCTCCATCATCTGGATACCGGCAACCAACAAGGAAAGCTTGCACCAGGCATACCTTGGCGCTGCTCAGAAGCTAGGTATACCCGGATGGGACAATGATAAGGAGGATGTGAAACGACTCGTACAAGGGTACCAGGGCAGAGAAAACATAGGACGGTGGCTGCTGGTGTTTGACAACGCTGACGACATCGAC